AAAAGTATTTTTTCAGCCAAAACACCACACGATTTTCTTTTGAAAGTATACTAGAGTTTACATGGACTTTGTCCGAATTGTTCGAGAGACCTGTGGAAATCCCATTTCTCAGCGGAATAGTCCTTTTGTAGGGATTTTCATCGTTTTTTAGTGGAATACCTTACGAGCTGGTACCGTCAGATTAGCTTGTATATGTGTAGAGTTGCAAAATCACTAACTGACAAAAAGTTCTAAAATGTTAAGCACGTTCTGAGGAAAATGTTTAAAAAGGTCGTTTTTCGACATATATCTCGCATATAATCAATGTGGGCTACTAGAAAAACAGGCATTTGTTTTTGGCCAAGTACTTTTCACGGAAAAGTATTTTTTCAGCGAAAACACCACAGGATTTTCGTCGGTTTCGAAACTTACTTGGCCAAAGACAAAACGGCTCTCCTAAAACGCTTGCCAAAAATCTTGAACACCTTGCCACGTCTCAAGCCATTTAAGATACGTTTCATTTTATTGATATAAGTAAACCATTTCATTCAGATGATTATGAAAATCATAAAATGATCTCCTTTGAGGCCACTAGTCAGTTTACTAAAATACCACTGAACAAAACAAAAATCAAGTAATATTAGATGAATTGTATCCACTACCATCATCTCACCAATGTCATCGCTATCGCAATAGCGAAACAATATTTCTGTTCAACATGTAAAAACAGAGACAATTTAAAAACATTATTAAAAATAGCCGCTGAACAAACACACTTCACATTCAACAACAAATAATATGAACAAGTTAATGGTGTCAGCATGGATTCAACACTAGCATCAGTCATGGCTAACATTTATATGGGTCAGTTTGAAAAACATAACGGAACCTCACCAGGCAGTTACTAACCGATGGTACAGATTTGTTGATGCCTGGTTCATAAAAATGCATCATCTTTCATCCTAATTTAATGTTTACGAGCCATAAAAGATAAGCCACGACCTAACGTGCTCAATCGACCATCTCAGATTTTCCCATAGAAAGGGCATCTCTACAGTAAACAATTTGATGAATTTCGGTGAAAACCGCAGATCCTAAAGTTATTCCGCTGCTGAGACATTCAATTTTTGCAAAGAGCCCGAAAACGCACAAATTTCGGCATCTAAGAAAACTGTCAATATAAACTACATACAACTCCCTAACGACACATTACATAGACTTAAGAATTCTATCATAACTACTAGATAGTGTCTACTACAAATTTGGACACCACCCGAACGACAACATTACATGGTAATTCAAAGCGAATTTTGTCGGTATTTCTCGATTTTAACCATAATGTCACGGTTTTCCCATGACAACTAGGTCGTATTTGATTACCAAGCACGAGGTCGTATTTTGTGATGTAAACAACAGATGAACTAGGTATATGCATAAACTTATACATACAATAACGGATTAAAGAAAAACGCAAAATAAATGATAGTTTTTCGCGGTTGTCAGTCCTCCTACAATAATCATCCTACTACTTTTATTCTACATATTTGCTCATTTAACCATGACCATTCACATCCAGTATTGTTACAGTCATTGACGAGACGTATTAAGCCATTTAATAAGAATTACACCAATGATACGAATTATCGATGTTGTGACAGATCCAAGCTGTCTCAAAACAATTGGACTTCAAAAAGGTAGCAAGAATGAGCTTTATTATTGATTATCCGTAGACCGATGATCGAGCGGCAGAAATCATTTAAAAGTAGCAGAAAAAGTGTGTAGGAAATATAGGGATTAAATGGAAGTATTCTCATCTTAAATAAGCTAAAGTGTGTGAACTAACTACACTCATTTATTAGCGTATGGTATTATATGATGATTATTAGTCGTCGAGAATACTGATTACATCCGAACTGCTATAGAATACAAATACATAATCACATTTGTAACATTAAGTTTGCCAACTCGCATTTCTCTAACAGTAATGATTTGACTACCAGTATGTACTTGTATTAATAGCTTCGTTTAGAGCTCTGTTAGCTCCACATAGGTGTAAGTCTCTATAACAGCATTAACCCTATTAGCAGTGAACCATTTCAGTAAGGCCTTGGTGACTTGTCTTTTGTGACTTGTCTTGGTGGCCTCACGGGAATTAATAACGCTTCAAGAATTCCTTGTGTCTCGAACCGACTTGTCTTGGTGGTTTTTCTCAAACTCTATACGACGAGTTCGAAAACGCCTGGGTGACTTGCCTCGGAGTGACTGGTTTTCTGAAGCACTCTACTAATTTTACAACATGAAAGCGCTGCAGTTCTTTTTGTCAGTTTAGAATTGTGAGCGCTTGTTAGTACTTTTTTTGACATCTTTTTCTAGTCTTTTTATAAAATTTCATAAAGAGTAATTTTCGATCAAGAAAACGATCGCTCTGCTTCACCATCAGTACGATGAATCGAGAAATACCGGCAAAATTCGCTTTGAATTACCATTTAATGTTCTCCATTGATTCTTCTAACAAGCTAAACACATTCCTTTCAGTGGAAAATGATCATAATAAATGCAGCAATATGAGGCCGTATTTTGTGATGTAAATAACAGATGAACAAGATATTTGAGGGCTGCGCGATTACTATTAAAAAATGTCAAATTCAAACATTGCTATTATCTACAGAATTCAGAATTCTTGAATGCTGAACTTTACATACATGTAAAGTTGCACATTCACATTCATCCTCACCCCTAGAATTCGGAACATGAATGTTCAATTTTACGTACATGTAAAGTTCAGAATTCTACAGAAAATAGCCATGTTTGAACTTTACATCTTGTACTGGTAATCGCGCATCTCTGAGATATTTGCACTGACGTATACATTTAATAACGGATTATATTTCCTACACTCTTTTTCTGCTACTTTTAAATGATTTCTGCCGCTCGATCATCGGTCCAAGGATTATCAATAATAAAGCTCATTCTTGCTACCTTTTTGAAGTCCAATTGTTTTGAGACAGCTTGGATCTGTCACAACATCGATAATTCGTATCATTGGTGTAATTCTTATTAAATGGCTTAATACGTCTCGTCAATGACTGTAACAATACTGGACGTGAATGGTCATGGTTAAATACGCAAATATGTAGAATAAAAGTAGTAGGATGATTATTGTAAGAGAACTGGCATGCGCAAAAAACTATCATTTATTTGACTAAGACTATCACACATTTGTTTCAGTGAAAAATGATCATGGTAAATGCAGCAATACGATCGACACAACGATTCGTGGTGTCCATCGTATTGATGGTGAAGCAGAGAGGCACTAGATCGCTGAGAGTCTAGAGGATATTTATCAGAAAAAAACGCTCTGTTGTACCCAACATCAACGCAGCGTAACTAGAATAGTATCACCTTACACTAAGCTGAACTCTTTTCCGAACATTGCGCCTTTTTAAAGTCTCTTTTTAATTCTCTGTTGACAGGCATTGTATCATAGAAAACCGATGTGAGCAGGTGAGTAGGTTCCCTCGTGAGAACATGGGGATATTTTTTCAGATTGCAATCATCTTTGCATCGGTTATCATTTTCATTTGGATGTTTTCGCTATCCGTCTGCGTATCATTAACGTCAAGCGTCTTTCGTCACAGTTGCACAAGCCGCGATTGAGCACTTTGGGGTGTGGCTTAACTGTAGTTGCTCTGATGTAGGTCTCTTTTAGGTATGTGGTGGAAGAGGTGGATCTCAGCAACAAAGTAGTTTCAAAGCCTCACGTTTGCATCAGTCGCTGCGGTGCATTCGATTATATATTTCTATACGTGAAACTGAAGAAGAAGTCTTTCTTGTTTCATCGGCATTCCAGAAGCGTGGTAGGTGTCATTTATACTTGTTTTAGTGAAAAGTGCTTCCACGGATGAGTTCGAAGTGAAATTTTAGAAAGCAGAGATTGGAATTTGCCTAGCTCGTACATCTCTCTTCTACCAAACGCCATCATATTGCCGTGACATAGGAGGTAGAACTTTATGTTTATCAATTACTTTCTTTGTTTAATTTTACGTACACAAATATATATTCAAATGTGCAAGTATAATCTTGGATAATCGTCTAAGTTGGTCACGTTCTAGATTACAGGCCTTTGGCCAACACCCTTATGAAACGTTTCCTTAAAGGACGGGGGACGATAACAGACAAAATCGGCCCATGCCCTGTGCTTTCTAAAATTTCACTTCGAACTCATCTGTGGAAGCGCTTTTCACTAAAACAAGTATAAATGGCAACTATCTCGCTTCGCTCTTGTACATATATATATATGTATGTACAATACATATAGATGTGCATGTATATGTACATGTACATTAGTCCGCCGTTCTTTTTTCTTTGTTTTCATTTATATATATATGTTGTAGCCAAAACTCAAATTCAGCCAAATTTGAGATTTGGCTAGCCAAAACTTAAATTGGAGTTTTGGCTGGGCAAAACTCAAATTGAAGTTTTGCCTAACGATTCTTTAGTCAAAACTCAAATTGGAGTTTGGGCTAGGCAAAACTTAAATTGGAGTTTTGGCTGACAATTGATTTAGCTAGCCAAAACTCAAATTTAGCCAAAACTCAAATTTGGCTATGTCAAACTGAATTTCGACTAGAAGTTAGTCTGAAAATGTTATATTTGTTTTTCTCTGTTTTTGCTGAACGAAATGATGACATTTGTTTTTAAGCTGACTAGAGCATGGGCAAAAAAATGTAGAAAGACTATAGATACTTGTAACGACCAGAAAGATGTCTTTTTTTCTTTTGTTATTGCATTCTTCTAACTGTACTTGGACATTGTATTTGAATTCTTCTCGACCGTCGTGTACATAAGAATCAATGTATAAATAGTCACAACTGTTGGTTGATAGTCATTTATTTTTATAACACGTTGTTTTCTAAAGAGCTCGTTTTTTATTTTATAATAGTAATATTATCACGTAGTAATTTACCATTTATTTTTATAATTTATATTGTCTATATTGATCAATTAAATTGAAATTAAGTATGTCATCTATTCCCTCTTCATCATCTAGTGTACAACATTCTTCTCCTGATTCAAATACAACTCTTTTTCCCGCTTCTACTACTGCTTCAACGTCTGAAACGAAATTTTATGATGACGTTGAAGAATATATTAATTCATTACAAGAAAAATATCGTGAGAAAACTGTGATAAAAAAGCATACATGCGATAAAATATTGAAGGCGTTGTCACTTGAAAAAGGTAAGTGTTCAGATTCTTTATCTACTAACTTTGTCTATTGGTGTCGGCAAAAGTTTATTATCGTAAAACTTGCTAATGTTGATGTTGTTTGTTGTGCAAAAAATAGAAAACCGGTTTGTGTTTACGAAGCATTGTTTACGGTTATAAAAGAATGTCATGAAAGTATATCACATGGTGGGAGAGATAAAACATTGTCAGAAATAAATTCACATTATTCGTGGGTTCCAAAAGTTGTTGTTGAAATTTATTTGAAAAGTTGTGTTGCGTGTCAAGTTCGAAAACCATTAAAACAACCAGTTGTATCAAAACCAATAATTTCACTAGGAGTGATGACTAGACTCCAAATCGACTTGATTGATATGCGTACAAGACCCGATGTTATTTCAAGTACTGTCGTTTATCGTTGGATTTTGCATTGTATTGATCATTTTTCTAAATTTACATGGTCTTTTCCATTAGAAAACAAATCTGCTGGAGAGGTTGCTTCTAAACTCCGTCAGCTGTTTTTTACTTTTGGCCCTCCACATTTGTTACATTCTGATAATGGAGCTGAATTTGTCGCACAGGTTATATTTGAATTGAAAAGCTTGTTTCCAGACATGTGTTTCATTCGAGGAAGACCCAGACATCC